GAGATATAATCTGAGATTAAATCTGAGAATGGTAGGTATATGTGGTATGTGTTTCAAAATCCTTGTAAAAATTTCACTATGTGTCTGCACCTTTGTTCACTGATTTGATCTGAGATATATCTGGGAATTATTTATGCGGGCTGACTGTGATATTTTATATACCCTTGTACTGGATTACTTTTCTGATTTTTAGACCTTTAAGGGTAAGGAACCGGCGGCAAATGGTATTAAAAAGAAGTGAAAAGTATCTCAGATGGATGAAAGCCGGTTTGTGAGCATGGAAGCCCAAAAGAGATTTTGTGATCTATATGCAGACAAAGGCTTCATTCATGAAATCAACATTGATATGGATTTACCAGAAGATAATCCCATTATGCGAACCATCCAAAGAAGGAAATGGGAGGTGCTGGTAAGTTATGCTGAACCAGCCTCAAGCTCAATTGTTAAGGAGTTCTGTGCCAATGTCGAACTAGAGGATTTAGATACAACTAGAACTTCATGGGTTAGAGGAGTTGTGGTTCCCTTTGATGCAGCCACCATTGAGTCCTACCTGCTGACATATTTCAAGCAACATACTTCTTGTGAGTATACATACCTCCTTGTATAACAGAATGTTGCCTAGTATAGGGTGCAAGATGTATCGGGATGAATTTCCTCTTTTGACAGAAAGGGTAAGGACAGGGATTACTCAACCATTCTCCAAATGGGACACTAAACCTGGTGGTATCCAAGAAAAGTTACGTATGAAAGAGCTGACTGATTGTAACACCCTCCCTTGTAGGCCTCCAAGAGAGTTGTTTGCTAAGCGGATTAGAGTTCTTTAATCATATATTAAAGAATGAAAAATGATTTTTACAAGGCCAATTAAAAACTTATAGTTGAAATCGGGTTCCTTACAAAAATCAGAGTACGCAAAATTTCTTAACTTACTAAAAATATAAATTTTCTGACAGACCTTTCTGTCTTTAAAAATTCGTATAAAATCCATTTCAACAATTAAAAAAAATATTCTTTGTAATCTAGAAACTAGATATATGGGGCTTTACGTTCATATAAAATAATAGTGATTTGCAGTTTGTTTGCCCCTCGAAACATAACTCGCAAAATAAGAGTTAAAACAGTGACAATATCACAAACGTCCTGGATGGTGAAATTCATAATAAATCGAGCTTTCAGAATTTCTTTGAAAGGTTTATATAAAATGAAACTAGACACTTGGGGCTACGCGTGCATATAAATTATAGGAAAATCGGAGGTCCGTAGCCCTAGCACGCTAACTTGCAAAGTGCTCGCAAAACAATTTACACTTAGCTTTCAAAACATCAGAATTCATTTTTCGTAAAACGTTTTCAAAAATCCATTTCCAAAATACTTGCTGGTCATAAAATCATAATGCAATAATAAAACCATAGTTCACAATAATATAAGCTTCTCAATTTCATACAGTCATCCATAAAATTAATACAATCACAGTAACATGCCCAACAGTAGAAACCAACAACAAATATCCAAGTCCTCACATGCTTTTGCGTCCTCCTGCCATTTTATAAAAATAGCAGCCCCAAAGGGGTGAGAGAAATCCCAGTAGTGTGGCAACAAAACCAATAATGCAGCAGTATTAAACTAGGCACAAAATTATAAATAGTCGCTTCAAACATGAAGTCCTTTTCACCATATAACCTTTTCATCATATATCCTTTTCATCATATATCATATTGCGTATGTAACGCCTTCATCACGCTCATAGCACCGTCGTGCGCGTGCATACACAGTGGAAATTCCATGCACGACACCATCATTTGGGGAATTCCACTGTGGCCTATGCGGACTGACGCCAACTGTCCCAGTACCCTGATATCAAGGGATGCCTATATGATGCGTGCTCATACACATGATCCTGTATATAACTATTCTACATTTCAAAGCCTACATGAATCTATTGTATGCATGCCATGAAATGCGGTCACACACCAAACAGAAAAATGGATCATGATGTAAAAATGCATGCACATATCATTATCATCATTTCATATTCTTACCATTGCCATATCATCATCATAAAATAACATTGAACATATGTGAGCAACACATCACAATTTCATACACTAGCTAATAGTCACATTAGGTAATACCGCCTAACACATACCTCGTGCGTCACAATTAAATTACCAGGCAGCAACAGAATAATCCAAAGTCTCAAGTGTTTTGCGCACCTAATATATCATCGTACCAAATCAGAATTTCATACAACTATCCCAATAATTTCTAAGCTCCTAAATCATGCACTTTCATCGAATTAAAGGATTCTTAGGGTTAATTACATTCTGCCCTTAATAGTATTCCATTCCTTACTAGAAATTACCATTTTTCTATGGTTTACATCATGAGTGGGTTCGGTTTTAAGGCTTCTCCTAAGAGAATAATTTTCTGACTTCATCTAATTTTAATTAAATTTATACAACAACAATATTCGACATCTTTCCTAAGTTCCCACATTCTACTCTATTGGTTTCACCATGGTTTCTTCCCTACTAAATTCTGACTTTACGATAAGATTACCAACATTTAATAACAAAACAATTTCCAATATTCCCACCAAAGCAGGATCTGATTTCCCCTAGCAAAACATCAAGAATTTTCGTTCCCCAACTCAACTAATTTTCCTACACTACAAGAAAAGTTGGATATAGAGGCGGTGTCATAATGGCTGATTTAGAAACCGACTCTATATCTACTTATCTAGTGATTAACAAAGCCGTAAGCTACTTAAAGGTTTTTTTTTTTTCCGTGTTTGCAGCAAAGCATTTCCTAACAAAGCCTCCGATATCTAGTGATTGATTTTTTTAACCAATTTTTTCCTTCCAATGAGTTCTATTTTTTTCTAAGCTCATATATTTGGGTATTTTCTTTCTTCATCTTCTTTATTTCTTCTTCACTAGGTTTTAGATTGATTTTCTAAGCTCATACTGGTTTCGATCTTCGCTCCATTTTGGAAGATTTTTGGATTTGAAGGATAACAAGGTGAGAATTTAATTGACATTTTTATGGCAAGATGTACAACAAACCGTTTCAGCAATACCATCCACCAGGTCTCCTTGCCCATTACATGCTTGATAAAATGCCCAAATGGATCATGAGTATAATGGATTATAATGGATCCGAGTCCAAACGCCACCCTAACGCTCGCATGAGACTCTACGACGATCTGCTTCTAAACGGGTTAGCCTCGTTCATCCATTGTACTTCCTCTATGTCCCCCTTTTTTTATTAATAATGAATTCAGTGATTTTTGTGTATATCTATATATATTGGGAAATTCGATTGCATTTAAACCCAAATGTTTTTTATGGGAAACATGGAACTGTCTTGGATAGTGGCACAACTTATGCATACCTACCAGAAGCTGCATTTCTCGCATTTAAACATGATGTAAGTTCTTTCATAAATATTATTGTAGAAAGTTATTTGAGTTGCATTTTTTAATCTCACCTATTTTCTAAACAAATTGAGTTTTTTTTTGAAGGACCAATGAGATTTTTGTATTCTCATCAACTTTTTGGTATTTTTTTTTGTTCAAACTGATATGCTTCAGTTGTTTTTTTTGTTCATTATGTGTATGGTTGCTTATTTTCTTCATATGTTTTTTTTTTTTTGCACAGGTATCTGTTTTTTGGATCAAATCATGTAGATTCATGCGCCTAATCGAATAAAAAGTTGTTTTCATTTTTATTTACAGGAACACCTTAAACAAAGGGATTTGTCTTTTGTATTCAGGTTACAGGTAACAAAATCTTTTCTTTAAATCACTTCAAATGCTCACTTTCTGATTGCCTTGTAGCTCTTTATTTCGTAGTTGAACTCAAGTTACAGATTCAACTTCAAGTGAAGGATCATTTAATTGACATTTTTCAAATATTTTTAACCGAGTCAGAATTTTTATACAATTATGTCAAGATTGTAAATAATGTAATGAAAATTCAGCACTTATTGTTTGTCAAACAAACACCCTCTTGGACTCAATTTCTTATGTAAATAATCAATGATATCACTTTATAAAAGGCTTCCTCCGAATATAACCAAAACATTTGAGCCTTCTATTGGTCCATCTGCGTCACAGTATAATTTACATCTAGGTATTGTAAGCTGCTGGTATTCTATTTTTATTTTAAAGTATATATAAAGATATCATGTTTAAACATGGATCAGATGATGCACATCGCCTAAAATAGTACATGATGTTTTTAATTTATTTTTTTTAAGAAATTAGTGTGATCTCTTCGTAATTTATACGCTCACTGATGACTAATCTGCTTTCATCAACTTAAATATGCCTGTGAACTCCAAATTTCTCAAATAACAATTATAATTTCATTTAACATCAGCTACATAGATATGAAGCCTTACATTACAGAATTGGCAGGACTCATAGCTCATGAGTTAGATGTTAATACTTCACAGGTTAGAAAATGAGTCTTATAGGATATAATTTCTCATAATGATGACATGATGACATGACACAGAAAAAATCTTCTACTTTATAAACTAGAAGGTAATAATAATTAAAATATTTTTTTATTACTTTAGTTCACACCTTTCATGATCAATAAATAATTTACTAATTTAGATGATCTAAAAGGTAATAAAAGGGAAAAAAATTTGAAATTATAAAATTGATTTTCTTGTTATAGTACCAAAAATATGTTAGTATGGGCTTTTATTTGAATTATAGAATTACGGCTTACCAAAAAAAATTATAGAATATTTTTTCAATTTTGAATATTTTAATTTTATTTTTTAAAAGTTATGAACTTTAACGCCCGAGATTATAATTTAAGATAATAATAATTAAAACATTTTTTTATTACTTTAGTTATACCTTTTTAAAATTTTAGTGCCGGTTTAATTTATACTGGACCGCGTGTGGTTTTCTTTTTTTATTTTTATAAACTAGACCTTCTTTATTTGGGGTAGGTGGTTTGCATTTTATCACTTACTGGTGACAATCTAGCAAGAATTCTCATTTGCATTTTTTTTAATTTTTTTAGAGTACTGTGCTCATAGCAAAATACCGACTTCAGTCCCAGAGCTTTTGAAAATTCTGTTTCGAAAGATCTTTGTTTAATGAAAAAGGTAACAATAGCCTCTCTGCTTTCTCTGTTCTCCACTTGCTTTCTCCACTTGTTTCTATCTATGTGTATTAATTCGTCGTCATGCTTGTATATAATGGGGTTTTCACATTTATTATTGGTCAAACTTTCTTGTTGAGAATTTTATACAGCTTTTTCTATGAGAACATTGAAATTTGTGTAGGTTTAATAAGCAGTAAATAATAGGATTGCAGATTTTAGATAAACACAGGACATGATGCATGAAAAAGATGGAATCATAATTAAATTTATGCTGGGAATATGTCTTAGCAATTTGATTTTGGACCTAAGTGAAAAATCACAATATGGAATCATGAAAAACATTGGAATCATGCTGGTTTTCTCTTTTTTAATGCTTTTTCTTTTTAAAAACTGGACATGTTTGTAACTGCTTACTCTCTTAACAGCTTTCAGTTTTAATGTCTGTGCTGTCAGCTATTACTAAGTTTGTTCTTTGGATCCTGGCTTTGTTGCCTCTTTTTTGTTTTGTTTTGTGTAAACTGATTAGGGCTTCTAGTTTTTGCTAGTGGGTTTCAGATTTGTAGTTGCATATTTTAACTGGGTTTGCTATAGTTTTGGCTACTTTTTTTGTCTCATTTTGGGAATTTCAGGTAATGGGTATCATCTCCAGCATGCTTGTTGGTTTGTTATTGGTTTATCGCTGTTCTCAACATAAAGAAAGTTGTATGATTCTTATAAACCAAGCATGCTTGTTGGTTTATCTCTGTTATGGAGAAATTTCTGATTTCTGCTTTCTATATCTTAGTTGCATGATTGAAGAAAAGTGAATAGACTAACACTACAACTCAAGAAATTTTATGATGCAATCATGCAACACTATATATATTGGTTCCAACATACATTAAGTTTTTATTTTGTTGTGTAATGTATAAATAATTATTCTGATGTATTTCCTTTGCAGGCTCCTAAATGGCAATGAGCTACCTGGTAATTTACCAGAAGAGCTTGGCAACCTTTCGAACTTGACTAGACTCCAAGTTGACCAAAACCAACTCTCTGGTCCTATACCGCAAACATTTGCTAACTTGGTCAAAGTTATACACCTGTGAGTGGATCTCCTACCTAAATATGTCATAACTTGGTTTAAGCTTTCGAACTTTCAAAGCTACCCAAGCTTCTGCACTTGTCAGTATTTAAGCTATTTTTTTTAATTTCCCTTGTGGTTTAAGACTTCCATTGCTTTCTGCAATGCTTCTCCAAATTCAAACTTGTATACAAGTTTTCAGTGTCTGCTTGTTGAAATGACTTTACAGGCTTATGCACAATAATAACTTATCTGGCTATCTTCCACCAGAAATCTTCGTGATGCAGGGTTTGCGAATAATGTATGTTTTACTTCTTCATTGTTTAGATATGTGTTTTTTTATTTTTTATTTTTTCTTTTGGTTGGTATAACGGATGTTGACATGCATCTGCTTGATTTTCAATGCCAATTCACTCGGTTTAAGGGAGTCCCTACCCCCTTCCAATTTTTGGTTTTGTGAAAAAGTAAATATCTTGCTCTGGTGCGATAAGCTGACATTCTCGTGATGTTCAAACTATAAGATTTTTGGTTTTGTAGGTACAGTCTTATCCTTCTAATTTTCATATTTATTTTGTTTCCCCTTGCAGCCAACAAGGAGTTATTTGTGCTAAAAATATTATTTTTTTAATTTTAATGTAGGTAGCGGAGCAACATTCTCGTGCTCAACTTTCTTCACATTCTGTTACTCATCAGCCATAGTAGATTTTTTATGTTTAAACATTTGTAGTTGTATTGACATTGTGATTACTTTTGTGATTCATTTGTAAAAGTCTTATGTACTTTGTTTTTGTCATGTTTGGATATATAATTTTTTTACGTTACGCTTTTTAAATTGATCTTTATAATTGTTTTTAGATTTTAATGTTATAATAATAGGTTTTATTATAAATATTGATTATAAATAATAAATGTTTTTATGATCAAAGAAATCTTTGAGTAAAATTATATAATTTAAATGGATTTTACAATTCAGTGGCTGTTTGAAATATTTTTGTTCACCAAAAAAAAAATATATTCATTGAAAATACCACAAAAATTTAATTTAAAAAAAATGAATTACTTGATTTAGCGGCTGTTCAAAACCGTCGCTATAAATAAAAATTATTTATTATTCTTAATTATGTGCGTCGGTTTGTATATATTCTGCGTCGGTTTTCTTTATCGCGTCGGCTATTCCGGCGGTTCCTGTAAACCGACGCTAAAATTTTTAACGTCGCCAGTTTCTAAGTCGGTTTTCAATTGGACGCTGGATTTTTTAGCGGCGGTTTAAACCGCCGCGAAATCTAAGATAAACCGCCACTAAATCCCGTTTTTCTTGTAGCTAGGGTGCGCTTCAAGGGATAAACATGCTGTCCTCTTTATTTGATTCATGAAAAGTTAGATATGTCCTAAATCACAACCAGACAGCCCCAACCGTTATAGTAAGGTCATTTCCATGGTTTCTTTAACCAACAAAATTCAGACTTCAAAAGTAATTTAAACAATAGAAAATCCAAATCTGTTATACATGCAGTTTCGTTTTTCAACATTCGTAAGGTCCTCATGACTTTAGTTTACAATCAACTCTATTAACTTAAGGCTGCGCTAAGGAAGTCTTTAAACAAGCTGGCCAATTAATTTTATTACATGTAAAGCTATGTTCATTATTCTAATTCCACATAATGCGTACGAACAGAACAGTAAGGTGGACAAGAGGCTTAAGGTTTGGTCGTTACCTCTTTGCCGTGCACAAGACAAGCAACTCTTCTAAGGAACCAGCACTACCCTCTTCAACTCTTCTAGTATACGAATTAACGCTCCTTGATAGATGAGGTTCGATCAACAAGAAAAGAAAGGGGAAAAATGCTGAGTGATTTCGTTCCCCGCTCAATGGAGCTTGCGGCCTTGCTAGAAGAAAGGGAAGGGAAAATGCTAAGAGTCTTGTGTTTGACTCAAGGGGCTCATGGCTGGACGGTGTGGAGAAGGAACTGGAGTTTCCTTTAGGTTTCTTCCTAATGATGCTCACGGTCACAGAGGGATGAGGAAAGTGTTCAGAACTTTTGGTTGTTTCTCAAAGGTGTACACGGTTTAGAGGAGGGAAAAGGAAGGGAATCCAAATCTGGTTTGTTTTCTTTGTTAGTTACTTACGGTCTTGGAAGAGTGAGAGGAGGAGGATGTTGTTGATTTTATTTAGCAAAGAATGGTCAGCTCCCTTTCCTCCTAAGATGCGCACAAGGTGAGGGAAAAGAAGTCTGAATTCAGAACCACAATAACATCATTCAGTTCCCTTTTTTTTGGTTGTATTGGCTGCATGGTTGGCAAGGGCTGACTCCTTTTGTGTAAAGTTGCAAGTGATATAGACTTTCTCTTCTCTATGGTACGCATGGTTGAGTGGATGGGTGAGTGAGGCTTTGGGATCAATTGAGGAACATGGAATTCAGATTTCTCTTTACCTAGTTGGCGTCTATGCAAGGGGAGTGTAGGGGTCTTCTTTGACACACGGTATGCATGCAAGGGCTGAATTTGATTGTGAACATTAGACTTGAGATCAGATTTTCTACTCTACTCTTAGCACATGGGCTGACGCACAACGGAAGAGTTTTAGGGCTGATTCAGTTTGGGTATTCAAGGGCAATGAATTAAGATTTTTCTTCCAATCCATGCGCATAGAAAAGGAGAGATTTAGGTGGCTAGTCTCACTTTTAAACCAATAGAACACATGCATGCTGACCTACTTATTCTCATTGTGCGCATGCTAGTGCAAGGCAGACTAGGGATTGTCTAAATCTACAAGCAATCAGCTTGTTTTTGGTCCACTCATGCGTATGATTAGATAAAGGAAAGATGAGTGTGTAGCTTGTTACCCAATGGGAAACAACATTCAGATTTCTCTCCTAGATAAGCTAATGGGTGAGTGTATGCAAGGGTTTATTTTGTACTGAAACAAGTCCCCACTCAAGGGTTTGGGCCGTGGCCCTTGGAAGGAGTTAGTCCAAAAATATTTAAGTCCAATGATGTTACTACTTAGGTACTAGCCCACAAGATTATAAGTTCTCCTATCTTTTAAATATTTTTAATCTTTCTATATATTACACTTAAGTTATTCGTTCATTTGTAATGGAAGGTTCACATGCCTAAATTAATATTCACTTACCATGGTAATTCGAGCAATCCTCTAGCTTACTTTAATTCCGCTCTAGGATAATAGCTATATAATTCATAACTAAGACATGTGTTACACATAATTCGAATTTAAAATAAGTATCCCCATTCCCTATAGCAATATATATTTTCTTGATTACGAGGGATGTTACACTGATGAATGCCGTTTCTGGCATTGTTTTGTGAATGCCAATATCTTGCCCTCTTCTAATCTGTCAGATGTGAATATTGAGCGGGCTTCTCTGTTATACATTCTTATTGGGCCAGAAAGATTGGACATTTCTACAGTATTAACTGATAGAATTTATCATATGGTAAAAGGGAGTAGACGGAAAGAACATCTGGGTTTTGCTTCTCTTATTTCCAACTTGTGCACCAGGGCAGGAGTGCTTATCGTTGAGGATGAGGAGTTTGATATTCAGCCTGCATCTATGCTGACTTTGGCTACATACACAGATCAGTGTAATAAATCTGAGGTTGAGTTCAGAAGCAAAAGCCAAAAAGCTACTAGGCCTCAATCTCCACGTGTTCCACGTATGCCTATTCTACCTCAGGTACCTGAGCCAGATGCTCCTGAAACACATTATGCTTAAGCAGCTCCAGTTGTTCCACAGGGACCTTCTCTTACTTTTGATTTTTATGGAATGCAACAACAGCTTTCACGGCTGTCTATTTAGAATGAGAAGATCATTATGCAGGGAGAGTATTTTCAGCGCTTCCTGGAGCATGCATATCCTACTGTCCCATTTAAGACATTCCATCCTGTGTACCCAGATGTTCCTCCTCCCTATGTGTATCAAAACCCTTATCCTGCTCCAGCTCCAACTGATGTTCCTATGCCTTCACAACCATTTATGGATCCACAGCTCTATCGTCCTGTTCCTGACCCATTCCATGCTGCTAGGAGGATGGTCATGGAGGAGAGTGACGATGAAGATGATTGATGTCTCCTTGCTGACGGAGATTTAGTGTATTTTAGTTTATTTATCTTTTTAGTACTTTGCTGTTTTATCATGACCATATGTTGATGTTAGGGTCACTTTGCTGTTTTATGTTTGTATATTTCCCACACATTCTGATGCTGTATTGTGCGCATTATAGTATCCTATATGCCACAGTTTGTTCTTGGTGCAGGTTTATCATCCATCTTTTGGGATTGATTATTGCTGGAGACAACAATTCTTTAAATCTGGGAATGGTAGGCTTTAGGAAAGCATTTTGGAACTGCAATACTTTTATCAGGGGAGATATTCTAAACTCTTTTAATTTTTCTTAGTCATTTTAGTTAGTATTTTGTCTTTATCTTTATTTTGATTGATCTGTTTTTCAAGCAATTCTCAGGTTTAAATGTGCTTATCTAGTTAATGTGTTTGACTGAATTCTTAGAAGTATATTGTATGACTTTCTAGCATAACATTGCATAGGTATAATTAGATTACACGATTGCTCGTTTTTCTGAACTGATGTTGTGAAATTCTGATAAAGTCTGAGGTCAATTTTCTTGAGTCTATATTGATACCATAGCTGTGAGGTTTGAGCTTAAACACTCAATTTTCTTGTTGAGAGATCTCACTGTTGTAATATTCTAGAATTTGATCTGTTTCTCTGTTATGCATGCATTGGTTGAAGTGATAAAGGCATTTTGTTCTTGTTAGCTTTTAGCCAAAAATAATCCACCTGTATTAAATTTTTCCATTGTTAGCCTCCTTGAGCCTGAACTTATTTTGTTGATAAATGACCTGTGGCCTGATTGATGGCTTAGCCTATATTCAAGTGACTTACCTTAATTGAGATTGAATTACTGATGTGTTGAAAATAAAACAAAGAAATTGAGGTAAGCTCCACAGAGGTCAAGTAATTAGGGGAGGTAAAATTTCATCTGTGCCCTTAAAACAAAGAGAGAAAAAAAGCAAGAAAAAGAAAAAAAGGTGAATGTAAATAAAAGGTGGCTGAAAGGAATTAATTCCCGAAATTCTGTGGGAATGTTAGTGGAGCAAAACCATTGAGTTGAATGTGTTAAAGAGAAATAATATCAGTTTTAAATCTGATTTTTGTTTGAGTTACTATCCATATATTCCTACCCCTCAACCCGGCCAAGTTACAACCTATGAAGTCCTTTTGATCAACTGGTGCATGTGTTTTATTCTTCATTTTTAAGAATTTTTGAGAATATGATCAAGCCTATGGTAGTATTATAGCTGTGATTGAATGAGTGCTCATGATACCCTTAAACACTGAGTGTTGAGTGGACATTATTTATCTGTGTGAGGGGTAATCAATGTAGACTTATATCTTTAAGAAGCTGATGACATTGTTGGAAGCTTATGATATTAGGTCAGTCATGCATGGCAAAGTGTGTCTGAGAGTGTCTATGAATTGTTATGTTGGATTAATTGTATATTTCCCGGATTTAGTCTTGTACATTGCTGGGGACAACAACGTTTAAATCTGGGAATGATTTGATGTGCCTCTGGCAAATGTGGTTTTTCATGTTGAAATTGATAAGAATTGAGTCATTAAAGAGCAATTTAAATACATATTTGCTAATTATATTGATTCTTTCTATGTCAATGATATTTCTCACCTATTGTTGTGTTTATATAGGTAAAAGAAAAAATATGCAAATTATGGAAGCCTTATGATCTACACCACTCTGCTGGAATTTCAATGATGCATAAAAGTCGTGAGCCAAATGGCAGAGAATTGGCGCGTACTCGCACCAAAATGACGTAAAGCGGCGCTGGAATTGGGGATTTTCACGCACGAGGCAGTGACACGGCGCCTAGTGGCGCCAAAATGGCGCCAGTTTTTGGTAAATTCTCACAGTAGCCGGCAATTAGTGGCGCCACAACGGCGCCCACTGACACCGGTTTCCGGACTCAACGCGGTGATGTTTGAATGGCGCTACCCGTCGCCACACCGGCACCGGTTTTTGTGGAATTGGCGATTTTGGTAGTGGCATGGCGCCGACTGGAGCCACACCGGCGCCAACTGGCGTCGGTTTATGGGAATTGCAGTACCATGTTTTCTGAAGGGAAATTTTGGAAGAAAGAAGCGAGGCATATAAATAGGATCCTCATTACAGAATTAAGAACGGAGAATACCTATTCTACTGAAAAGAGACGACGGTGGTGCTCCGAGAGGATTATGCAGATCAAGTTCTTCTTCTACTTTCTCTTTAATTTTATGCTTTTATTGAATATTGAATTTTTAGCCATGATTATGCTTGGCTAGTTTATTTTTATTGTAGTTAGGGTCACAAACCCTATGTGAACCCTTTTCATGCTGGATTGATTATTTTCGCTCGTTTATTTTAATGTTTTTTATTTTTACCCTGTGCGTATTGATGTTATTTCTGTTAGACTTGATCAACCTAATAGGAGATAATAATTTGGGAATTAGGGCTCGCAATAGGAATATTAGGGATTTTTATTCTGAAAGGGGGTAAGGTGACAATTTATGCATGCTCTAAGGATAGACTTGTGTGAGTTGCAGTCGTTTGATTTATCGTGATTAATTCTTAATTTCATGCGGGGTTGCTAAGGGATTAGGATTCCAATTGAATTAAAGGGTTAGATTGCCAAGGGATTGGGATTTAACTAATTATTTAAGATGATAATTTGTCTGAGCTATTAAATTGAATGAACGTTGTCAATCAATCCAAAGTTTAAAGTGGGGATCATATGGTGCGTGTACCTTAGCTGCAATGCCTTTTATTATTCTTACAAAAATCCATCTCAGTTGTTTTCTCATAACCAAAATTCAAAAACAAGTCTTTATTTTCAGTTCTCATTTTACACAAATCGACAATATTTGTCACAAACTCTTTGAACTCCTCCATTCTTGAAAGGACTATTAATTGATATACGATCACAATCCCTGTGGAGACGAACTTTACTTATCATTATATTACTTGTGCGATCGGTATACTTGCCGGTGAGCATCAGTGTACTTACCCATATGACCCTCTGTTAACACTTCTTCCATCATTTGCCCCTTCGGAACAATTAACCGATCTTTGTAGTATTTCACATTAGAAGCATCGGTAAACACAAAATCTTTCCCTTTCATCATTTAAATCCCTTCATCAAGCGCTTGGGTCGTTTTAACTCTCTCCATAAATGAATTTCGGACTTCAACCGTAGTCATAAAAGATTAAGTCTCAAATGGTGTCACAAAAATTCTCAAATCTCTGAACTCTTCAATCAAATCATACTCCGCAATCATCATGCTAGCCACACTTGTGGTCTTTCTGCTCAAGGAATTAGCCACTACATTCGTCTTTCCAGTGTGATACTGAAGGTCAAACTCATAATCTTTCAAAAATTTCATCCATCTTCTTTGCCTCTCATTAAGCTCTTTTTGATCGAACATGTACTTCAGGCTTTTATGGTCACTATAAACTGTGAAAGTAGCACCATACAAGAAGTGCCTCCATATTTTCAATGCAAAAACCACAGCCGCTAACTCAAGATCATGAGTAGGTTAGTTCTCCTCATGTGTTCTCAACTGTATAGAAGCATAGGCCACTACCTTTCGCTCCTGCATCAACACGCATCCTAATCCATATTTGGATGCATCACAATAGATCTCAAATCTCTTTTCCGGATCAGGAAGAATCAAAACCAGTGTGGTAGTCAACTTATCTTTCAATTCTTGAAAGCTCACATCACACCTGAGGGTCCATGCAAATAGCACCCCTTTTCGGGTCAATCTAGTCAATGGCAAGGCGATTCTGGAGAATCCATTTATAAACCGCCTATAGTATCCTGCTAAACCCAGAAAACTTCAGATTTCAGTAACACTCTAGAGTCTCTCCCAATCCAACACCGCTTCTATTTTACTCGGATCAACCGCCACTCCTGCAGAGGAAATGACGTGTCCAAGAAACTGTATCTCATGCAACCAAAACTCACACTTGGATGGTTTGGCATATAACTGATGCTCCCTCAATATTTGTAAGACTATCTTCAAATGCTCTACGTGCTCTTCTTTACTCTTGGAGTAGATAAGAATATCATCAATAAATACCACTACAAACTGATCTAGATGTGGTTTGAAGATTCAGTTCATATAACTCATGAACACGGTTGGGGCATTAGTAAGCCCAAATGGGATCACTAGATACTCATAGTGCCCATATCTGGATCGGAAAGCCGTCTTCGGAATATCCTCTGCCTTTACCCCGATCTAGTGATATCCGGAACGAAGATCAATCTTCGAGAACACTGAAGCACCCCTGAGCTGATCCAACATATCATCGATGCGGGGTGGAGGGTACTTGTTCTTCACTGTTACCTTGTTTAGTTGCCGGTAATCCGTGCACAATCTCATAGTCTCATCATTCTTGTTCACAAAGATGACCGGTGCACCCCAAGGAGATACACTCGGTCTGGCAAAGTTCTTGCGGGAGAATTCTTCTAGCTGCGTCTTCAGCTCTGGTAACTCCACTAGTGAGATAGGCCCCACACAAGGTACTAAGTCGATTGAGAATTTAATCTCCCTCTAAGGTGGAAAATGGGAAATTTCTTCCGGAAATACATCTTCAGACTCGCACACAACCGGAATATTCACAGTAGGTTCTTTGGAGTCTCCTACAAGTCCTCCCAGGACAATATATCTTGCATCTCCCTCATTTAGAGCCTTATTTAATTTCTATGCCGTCAAGTACAAACTGTCAGGCTTCTCTCCTTTTGCAGCAAAGAAAACCCTTCTGCTACAACAATCAAGCATCACACCATATCGAACCAGCCAATCCATACCCAGATGTTGTGTAGATTCATGCCTTCAAGCACTATAAAAAATGTAACCCATTGGCAGCAAATTTCGATATAAAGGAGGGGGTAGCTCCTGAATCAAACATGGCATCAAAAGCATATCATCTGATAAGAATAGTACCTCTGATAAGGTTTAGAGACCTCTCTGCCTCCTCTTGTGTCACCACATATACCCTGGCACTAGTGGGCGCCATAAGCTCCTCTATGGCTCTCTAAGTAGGCACAGACTTAATGGGAATAGTACTTCTGTATGTCCTGACATTGCTTAATCATTGCCACAAAGTCTCTGGTACAATGACCAGCCAGCTTTTCTGCAATCATTTCATTCAAGCCCTTCTTGAATCTATAGGCCTTGTCTTTTGGAGTGAGGGGAGCTCTACCATAACAAGAATATTTTTCCAAGCGGTTGTATTTGCTCAGATATTCATCCACTGTCATGCATCCCTGCCTGAGGTCTTCAATCTCGCTTCTTTTCTTTTCCCTATCTTCCTCCGGGAAATACTTAATCAGAAAATGTCTCTCAAAGAGTGGCCAAGTAATAGTATGCCCTTGGCACTCAAGCGGGTTCCTGACATTGTTCCACCAGTCTGATGTGTCTCCCTGTAACATATACACAGCATATAGAAGCTTCGTGTTGGCAATACACTCCATAACCTGAAAGATACGCTCCATCTGCTAGAGCCACTCTAGTGCTGCAATGGGGTCTCTCCCACCTTAGAAGTAAGGTGGGGAATGCTTCCTGAAAGCATTCAGCATGCACTCTCTGGTCCCTCGGTCAAACATAGGTGGCACGGCTGATCTATCAACCTCTATCACTGGCTACCTCTCGCGTCCCCCATGGACGGATGCCTATGCCTCCTGATAGGCCTGTCCTCTCCCCTCCTGTCTCAGCACGACAGGCTCAAGAATCGGCATGGGATCATCAACACGTGCAGCCTGCTGCTGCACTGGTGGTGTAATTGGTGGTGGAGGTCCACCTCGTACCTCAGTTAGCAGTAGTCTCATCATCTTGGCATTTTCCGGTCTATTTTGGGCTATCAACTCTTCACTAGCCCTTCTCATTTTCTCCCTATCCGACTCGCGAGCCTCTTCGATTATTTTCAAATCAGCTTCCCTGGTTTCATTCAGGGTCTGCTGTAATGCTGTTATAGCTGCAACAATAGGATCAGAGGCAGGTTTTGAACTGTTCGCCTGGGTCTCCCCCGAGGTGCCACGATCACTACACAAAACTACACAAGGTATAAGTTAGCTACACTCAATCAAGTGATAGCATATGCAATTTCATGACACTCAAGAGACACTCAACAAACAGTTCTAACACTTAAGCAATACATCGGTGAATGTCCCGGTGAAACTGCTCTGATACCATAAATGTAACACCCCGTAGTACTCCGGTTGTTAACATATATGATATTTAGCATACACAGCGGAAGACTTTATCTTAAAAGAATAATAAAGCGTCTTATAAAAATACGAGTAAACTTTTTCCAAAATATTTTCTAAAACATTTTCAAAGCGTTCATCTGATATATTGCATTCGCGTAACTTTAACATCTAAGTCTATTGATTAAAACCATTTGGCCATCACTAGTGGCCGTTGACTATCCAGATATGACATCAAGTGTCATTCTTGACGGAGTCTCACGGACAGCATAACAGCTGTATTTCGGATAATCGGGAAAATAGGTCCCACACATACACAACCTGATAGATACAATAATTAAACAGACAGATTGCAAGTCCCACACAGAGTGCAATCCCCTCAATGGGTTAATACAAACAATATGGCTCAATGCCCAATTAACTAAGTACATATATCAAGTCTATATAAATTTCCAAACGTCTAAGCATCAGTAAGTAATCCATGGCTCCAATCATACAGTCATAAGCCTATATAAATACATTATATAATCTCAACATAAGATAATTAAGCATGTTAATAAATATACATGCCATCATAGGGTCTAAACATAATAAAGATAAATCAGCAGCGTCATCCACTACTCCAAGGTGGGGGCTTTAACCCTAGAAGCATCACCACTACTCTGGGTACCTGAAATGTTGTCCCCAAACGGGATGAGATAACACATCTCAGTAAGCTCAAGGTTCATAGAGAATCCTCTAATCCCCTGAGCCCACTTTCTGCATGACAAGTCAAATATAAAGCATATAATACAGGCATACAGCATAAACATAGTATCATCATATCATCCTTGTGTAACCCCAGGGTCAAATCTATAGACGATTACACATGTGTGACTCCAGGGTCAAGCCATAGACAGTCAACACAACCTCTGTATGAAATAGCTCCCAGAGTCAAGTCATAGGCAGCCTACATACCATAATCACTGGCCAGGGTCCTCATAACATATATCATCAGTGCATCATCATAACATCAAGAATCATATAACATCTATATGAATGTGAATGAATGCACATATACGTTATACCACATACTTTCATACAATACAACCATAATGTCCATCATCATGGTGGGTCCATAAGAGAGAAGAGAAACCAGAACTAGGAGCTTACCTCACTGAGCTTATCACAAATCCAACTCCAACAGTAAAATACGTATGCTCCAATAAACCCACAAGTGTCAAATCCTTTAGGTAAACCTAGAGTAGAAATCATTTATATTATTAATACTCAATCACTTAATGATTCCATATTTCATTCTTACATGCCAATAATATGCCCATTACAAGTTTAGACCAATTATTACATAATTACGTATTTTAGTCTATTATGAAGTGTTTTTCACTTATTACACAATCAACCATGTAGTTTAAGCACCTTGCATGATCTTAGAATCACGCACTAGGATCACTAAGGTAACTTAGATTATTTTCACTCATCCAAGCCATATATATACTTATTATAAGTTACTAAGGGTTCCCATAAGCCCACTTAGCTTAAATATCACTTTTACGGTTTTTCCATAACTGTACATGCTTCTGTTTTCTAGTCACTGTGCGCAACCCACCTGTTATAAAATTCTCATCATTTAGTATATTAATCTATACTCAATTACCTTTCCAACAAGGTATCACAAGCCTCATGTTAAGTTTTCTAGCTCCAGTTATTATCATTTAAAGTTGAACAAGCAAAGTTGTCTGCCAACTCCGAACAGAGCCCTAAACATCCTTTACCTTTTCTACGATTTTGGAAATTCTACTAAACAAATTGCTCTCAAATTTTTATGCAGACAACTAGACACCTTCAACTTTAATTAGACATATTATGAGCCTAATTTGAGTAAGAACGTATGGAGAAACAATTCATGGAATTTGAAGCCATGTACAGCCGCTGTGTTAGTATATGGATGTCTAGAGACAATCTTTTAATTAGATTAGGACATATGTGGACCTTTGTATTGTCGCAAATAAATAAAAGCACTATTTATCCTGTTTCATATTTTGTCTCAATATTACTATTGATATTTTATATGAGTAACTGGATAAACCCCTTGGAATAAAATAGGTATCTCTTGAGTGTCTGTGATGAGATCACGATCATGAAGATTCAAGGATACTGGATATTTATTCCTAATTTTATGTTCCTAGTGTAGAGACACTGAGAATGGGGATCAGCGATCTCGGGTAAGACTAGCACGACTTATCTACTTGTATTTGGATACAAGGTAAAGACCTCATGAGCTACATATATGGAGATGTCTTAGCTACGGTCGTGGGTGGATATATAAGGGTATAGCTCGCACTGAACAGACCCACAAATAAGACTCTATGAGAAAATCTCACAGAGAGTATCATTAGAGTAGTCTATTTATATTTGGGTATGTCTTTCCTTAGACCAAAAGTTATTACCTAGACTGTGTTCTAGAAGGCATGCTTTGACTGTATACCTCGTCTGCCTGAAACATGGAGACTCATAGGTATACTGTTGGGCTTGTCCTGAAAGAGCACAGGGCTAGGGTGATAAGCTGAAGGAATTCGTCAAATCTCTGTGAGAGATTAGGTTATCTGTAAACCAGAGAAATCGGGATGACATTTACAGGGACTCAGGAATCTATGCATAGTAAAAGAGATCATGAGATGATCTGCCTTTAGAGTCAGTAAATTGAAAATTCCCTATTTCGAATAAAGCTTATCCTAAACCGCAAGGGTTGATACGTTTCCTTACCCTAGGTTTTATGGGAAGGTAACCGAGACGAAAGGAAATACATACGTCAACCAAATATGTGTAATAGGATGATTATGTCATTAACCTAACTAGCTCTGGGGCAACAAAGCATTGCTAGTGCTCTGTGTTGTCATTAGATGGGTTGTGGGCTTATTGGGCCCAAGCCCATTTATGTCAGTGGCTATGTTGGGCCTAATGAGTCACACACTAACACCTTATTGTCATGACAATATAGTATTAAAGGTATTGGGCGTAATAATGGTTGTTAACCCAAGAAGAAGTTTGGAAGCCCACCAAAAGGGGAAAAGGGCGCATGGTTAGTTAATGGGTTTGGATGGTCCAAGACATTACTAATTAATTTAATTAGTTAAATTAATTATCAAATGTTTAAATTTTGAATTTTGAATTTGAAATTTGAATTTTGAATTTTGAATTTGAATTTGAATTTTGAATTTTGAATTTTGAATTTGAAATTTGAAATTTGAAATTTGAAATTTGAAATTTGAAATTTGAATTTTGAATTTTGAATTTTGAATTTGAAATTTGAATTTGAATTTGAAATTTGAATTTGAATTTAAAATTTAAATATTTGAACGTTTGAATTCAAATGTTTGAATTAGAATTTGAATTGGCTATGAAAAGTTATTTCATAACAAAAGGATAAAATAAATCTTGTTGGAACAAATCCCAAATATCAAGAGGAGATCTTTGAGAATCTTTTAGTGAGGATATGGGGCGCTGATTTTGGTATCTGATGATGGCCATAGGATCAACCAAATGAGCTCCAGTCAGATTTGGTTTGTTGAGGGAATAAGTGAGACAGTTGGTTCAAGTTTGAATGCATTTGCTCAACGTATCTGGACTGTTATGAGGCCAAGTGGGGCGCACCATATGGCTGGCCATATGATGGTTGTTGAGTCAGATTCTTGTTGAGATATTCACTTGATATCATGAGGATGTAGAGAGGAGGTTGTTGACAAGATTTGAATTTTGCAACAACTCCACTCATCCCCCCTAGTGTGCGCTACATAGGGCCTTATTTAAGTGAAGAAAATCAGATTTTAATTAACTTATTCTCTCATCTCTTTGTGGGTTCCTTTTGTCAGGTGTTTCTTAAGAGAGTTTTGAAATAACCTAGCCCTTTTCAAAGTAAATCCATGCGCCACTTTTGTGTCTATTCTTGCTGAATATTCACTCTTCTAAACACCTTGACCTAGCCTCCTCCTTCACACATTGGGCGCATAGCTTGCCTCCATTGGTGTTTTCGTTGGTGGCCTTGAAGAAGAGTTCTTCCGTCTTGACAAAGGGTGGTGTGTATCAACATTAGAGGGCTTGCATCTTCAAGCCTCATCTTGATCATCCTCAAGTTTTGGAAAGCAAACAAGGTAACATCCATGCCCTAAAGCATGTTTCTTGATATGGTATGTGTTATTCCGCTCGAAAAATTTTGTTTTTCCCTCTCACATGCCTCGACCTTCAAGGTCAGTTTCTTTCACGCTGTACATGGCCTCCCATGGCAGTCTCCA